TTATTATTTTTTTATGCCTATATGGCAAAATATATAATTCGGTAATACATAATATATGATATGGTAATACCTTGCAAGGCTCTATTTATCATCTGTCCACGTGCAACGCTTGAGGATGAGGCTTCCGGTGTATGGTCCAGCTAATAATATTCTTTGTAATTTACGGATTCGTCTATTTTAAGTGGCCACTGAATATTTGATCTATCCTTTTGCCGTCCGTAAGCCTTGTAATCAATGCAAGACAAGTGTTTAAATTCTTCGTTGTGTGGCCCACTAAGCTCTACATTCGAAAGTTACACATCTGTAATTTATGCCACGAGTCGCAAATAGCTACCCGTTACATAATTTCGATCCTAGATCTCCACGGCCAGCACGAGATTACCCAAACTGAAATTCACAGTTTTGTCCAGCTTTCAAATTCAGGCCAATGAATATTAATATATACTCTTTTGTTTGCCGTACGTACGCCCAGTCTTGTTGTCAGTACTAGACAAGTGGTTTTAAGTCCTCACTGCGCGGTCCTCTGCAGTTGAAAGTGTTAATTTCATAATTTAACTTATTGCACGAGTCGTAAATAACAACCCATCACAACCGGCCAGCCACCAGTTCCTGATGGACAGTTTAATTGATCTAGCATTTACATTTTATTGATTAAGAATATCTGTCTGTCACAAATGTCACAACAATGGCATTCTATATTAAATGGATTCGGACAGCTCTGGAAAGTTATCGGCGCTAATGAACACAAAACAGAAATTGCATGAGAAACACTGAGAGGCAGCTGTTCAAATTTCAGCGCTGAGAAGGCAGGTGCAAAATTCCAGCTCAAGTCGCAAACCGTCGTGGTCCTTGTTTTACCTGTTTTTAATCTTTGGACAGGTGTTTTTAAACCTGCTTCGTCTCAGGCACCGCTGCAGACTGAGGAAACAGCGAAAACGAGGCAAAGCGCATATGAGCACTTGCGTGAAATGTCAGCCATCTCCCAGGCGACAGATGACTGACATCTTAGGCTAAGCATGTGCCGAGCACGAGCAAGGAACGGAGTTACCCATTATACCTTGTCCACTTGTCAACCTGTTTTCGCGCGTTGGCGTTATTATTAACGCTGATCGACCCGATCACCGGACAGGATTTTACAAAGCTAAGGGTGCTGCGCTCCCGGGGGGAGGGGGGCACTGCCATATATGGGCTATATAGGTATGTGCCGCTGTGAAGGGTATGGTTTTCAAG